TGGAACCATTAAAATGAAACTATTTTTAGTATTTATTTATTTATTTCATGGGGCCTCATGGATGGCATAGGAGCACTGTAGCCCTGAGCCATGTTGCCGGCCTGCCTTCTTTTTAATACTGCATATCATTGGATTTTACCATCACAAGACTTTTCATTATGTTTCTAGACCCACTTTACTTCCCTATTCTCTTTTTCATTTTTGTTTTTGCAGCACTTGGCATTGACCTAACTCCCAGCTCTCAGCGCCACTTATCTGCTGTCTTGGGACTCTGTTAATACTTTTTACTTAAATTAAGCTGTGTCTAAATAAACTTTACTCATAATACTTTTAACAAATGAAGCACTCTCCCCTTCTCCTTTGACCCATATTTCTGCTACAGAATGTGGGATGGGGTGACTTGAAACTATCACTTCCTTGTGCATCAGAAAGGTCTCTGTGTAAACTGTTGAGTCTTGCCCAGCGACTCTGTTGTGCCATGTACACAGAAAAGGAGACTCTTTCCTGAAGAACTGCAGCCTTGACTGTGAATCCTGACCATGGGAAGCTTTGATCTTTCAATGAGTTGTTAAGACCTAATCAGCCAAAGATTGCCTACCAGAAGCAACACTGACAGAATCAGATTTACTGCCTTTCAGAAAGGGAGGTGATTCCTACTGCACAGCAAAGAGGCAGGCAAATGTGATAGGTGGGATTTCACTGAGGAATTTTGAGGGGAGTCCTTTGAGGTGGAGCTAGGAAAAGAGGGGATTAACAGGGATTGGGTGGGTCAAGTAGGTGAAGATGATTGAGGAAATGGGTACCTGCATGTCACCAATAATAAGTGAGAATAGCAAGGGTGTGAGGCATTTAAGAAGTCTATTACCACCCGTAGTGGGGAGGGTTTACTAAAGCACTTTATAACTGTAGTATAGCTCTGGCAGAGAAGCAATGTTTCTGGATAATTCTGCAGCGGACTTTGTCTTTCCAGTCTGACTAGTGGCCAGACTCCTTCTCTTTTTTTAGTTCACATTAATTTTTCATTCTTTTTAGTTTCAAACATTTGAACTCTTCCAGTGTCTTGGATTCTAAACCCATGTGAACAGTCACCAAAATATATCTCCCCCTTGCCATTCAGCAAGTTTTAGACTCCTGTGATCAATTTAAATTAACTTAATGAAAACTTGTAAAGCAATAAGCAAGCAACTACTGGGTTTCACTTTAGGATATTGTATTAGTCAGGGTTTTACTAGAGGAAACAGATATAACACGAGATATACAAATGTGTAAGAAATGACAAAATTGGCTTAGATGTTCAGCCACAGAGTCGGATGAGGAAGCGTGCAGAGGGTTGTCTACATACTGGAGGCTGAAGGATTCAATCCAAGGTCTGAAGTTCACCCTTGTGCCTCATGCAAGTCCACACCAGCAGGCTGATGGGTCTGTGACAGAAGGTCAAAAGTTCTACGATGGAAGGCTGAAGAAGAGTCTATGCTGGAAAGCTTAAGAGTCTACACCAGAAGCCAGGAGACCAGGTCCAAACCAAAAGCAAAGACTGGAGCTTCTCCCAAGAATGGAATGCATTTGTCTTTGTTCCTTCCCTTTTATACCTTCAGGTGATGAGCCACTCTATGGTGGGTCTTCTACACCCTTGAGTGTAGAGTTACTAAACTCATTTAGTTAAAACTAAATGTCTCAAGTTGACACAATCAATCAACCACTACAGATATTTAGGTCTTTCCAAATGCCCTGTCACTTTGTCTTTTGCTGGTCATTGCCTTTGCTAATATTCTTTTTTAGCTTAGAGTGGATCATTACTCTTACCTCGAAGCTTGGCTTTTGGTTGCAAAGAACATTGTTTTTGAGGCTTACAGTGGTTTGACTCTGTTATTTTCAGTTTCTCTGCCTTTCCATGTACCCTGTATTTGAGCCACTCCACAATGATTCATGTCTCTCTGCCTTTACGCAGTCACTATTTTCCCATCCTTAAATTTTTCTTTTATTTTTATTCTAATCAAACTTCTATTCCTCAGGCTGAGAGGCCATGTACACAGCTCAATGATGAAGTGTGTGCTTAGCATTTGTAAGGCCCTGGGTTCAAACAAAACAAAAATCCAAAGTCAAATCCTATTCTTACTTGCCTGATTCATGAAGCCACCTTGATCCACCCAACTGAAACTGCTAGCTTCTTTAGCACTCCTGTAACACTGCCTGCAACTCTGCTTAGTATTGGTTTTATTTTGTCTTCTAAGTACACAGTGGTTATAGTCTTCCTTGATAGTGAAAAAAAGTTTATCTTACCTATTCCCTATGTCCTAGGCAAATTCTTAGCCTGAAATTCATGACTTCATTGTGATCCAGTAAGAAGTTTGGGAAGATGGGGTATGTGTGAAACTATATATATAAATATACGTATGTATACAACTTTCATCACATGCTCGTAAGATCAACTTTTAGATTATTAGACTATTGTAGAACAGGCACTCTGCCACTCAAACAGATGGAGGAGATGACTATAAGCAACCAAGAAATCATGAATGTGCATCAAATGTGGGTGCTTAGGGCATGATACCCAGCTGCGCAGGTGGAGAACACTATTCACCTAAAGCTGCCAAGGGCTATTAGCCACTGCTGATTAAACTCTGGACTGCACTGACTTTTGGAAATTGCTGTAAAATCCAGCCTTTCCTAGTCATGGCCCAGAAGCACTGTACTTGGCTGAGTTTATTTACATAAATGCTTGACTGCCTTTGTTAGAAGCTAAATTGGCAGTGGCAGCAATGCTATTTGCCCTTTTCTAGTCTCAGATATATATTAGTTTGATTAATAATCACATTTCAGTTCATCACAGGCCTATGAGATACAGTAGAATTGTAGAAGAAAATATAATACATGGCATATATCTTCTTCCCATCATTACAGTAAATAGAAAAGCTTTTCAGAAAGATTTTCTGGTTCTGATTTTTCGCCACTCCATCATGACACAAGTGTCTGATTGTAACAACACAAACAATGCTTAACATGAATGACAGAATGAGATTACTTGATCTTCAGTATAAAGGGTAGATAGGCCTTTGGTTTTACTTCCTAACTGCCTATGCTAATATTTTGAGAATATTTTTCCTGCCATTTCTCTCCTTCTATGCCTTTCTCAGAAAATTCTTTGTGAAATTGATTTGGCTGATAAAAGTTAACTAGTGAAAAAAAGCATTGAAAAATATACACACTTTCAGCTGTCAAGTGCATTCATGTGTCTGTCAACAATTCGTATTTTAGTACTTGCTGAGATTATTTGACACAGATGATTCCCTCTCACAGGGTATTCAAAAACAAAAAACTAACATGCAATTTGGATAGCTGAACTTCCAGTAGGGATGTTTTTCTTCAAAGTGACTCATCTGTATTGTCTCCTTCTGTTCAAACCAAATTATAAAAATCCTGCTGCTCAAATACATTATGAAAATCAAAGATAATTATTTCAAAAGCAATTGTGATCAGCCTTCCATCCTAGCCACATATGAGTGAGGGAAGTTCTTAATCTGAAAGAGAATAAACTTGCATATTGCCAAATCAATCTTTACCATTGGGTTTCTTTCGGATACAAGGTTCCAGGCCAGCAATTTTAAACTTTAAGGGTGCATCAGAATCACCTGGAAGGTTTGTTAAGACTACAGATTGCCAGGCTCTACCTCCAAAAATTCTAATACTGCATATCTGGGGTGGGACTTGAGGATAGAATTCCGCACAAGTTCCCATGAAATGCTGGTCTGGGAACCACATTTTGAAAACTAATTTATGTCTTTAAGGTCACAAGGTATTTGTAATTAGTTCAATCAGGACAAAACGCATTTTAAAATAATAACAATACACGGTAACATAAGGACCACAAAAAGTGCTACACTGTAAGCGTACAGAAAGATCAAGGATTCTAGGAATTCAGTAGACTTCCAAGTTTGCATAGGTTTAATATCAGAAGGAGATGGAGGTACTCCAGAATGGGGAAATAAACCAAGCTGGCAGCAGTAAAGACTAGAGAGGCTGAAAGGGATTTGTGGAGGGCTTTCAATTCTGTTTTATAACAGTAGTACTGTTTTATACAGTAGATATAATTCTTCTATTGACATTCTATTTCAGGTGACATGCAAGCACAAAGATCTAACTCCACATCACTACAAACCGTTTAAGCTTTCCAAAGTACTATTTAGGGGCTGTGAACTAGGTAAAGCTTTTATCTCTGGTGTTTGGTGAACACAATTTAGACTGGGAGGTGAACTGTTTGTACTCTTTAATCAATTTACTTTTCCCATATGAATGTGAAAGCGGGTAGGTTTTGGAGGTCTCCTGAAGTGCTGTACAAGAAGGGCGGTCAGGTATGGTACAGGAAAGATCTTGGATGGCCAGACCATTCCCCAGTGGGTCCGAAGTGGGTGGAGAACACTAAGCACTACTTTTCATCTTTAAAGTGCACTCATAGAGATCACCTGGAGATCCTGTTGAAAAGCAGGTACAGATTCAGCAGAACTGAGGTTATGTATTTCCCCAAGTTCCCAGAGGATGCTGATGCCGCAGTCTGCACTTCGAAGCAAGGTACTATGGGACATTCAGAAGTCGTTACCGGGGAGAGGTCCGCTGGCCAAATCCCCTAAAGGAAGCATAGGTGCAATCCTTAAAGATTCCTACCCTATGCACCCTATGCAGCCAGGATGTGGGAACAATGCGAAGAAGAAGGGATTGAGCAGGGCCGGGGAGGAGGTCGGCCGGGAGGGGTGGGGACGCCAAGGTGCGTCAGGTGCAAGTGCTCGGGAGATGGAGTCCCACAGTGTGGCACGCGGTTTAAGGGCCGCGACGCGATTTCGGTACTTTCGACCCTCGGCGGCTCCCATCGCGGCTCCGCGGCGCGAAGCGGGGACGCCGACGGCGGCGGCGGCCGATCCCTCCTCACGCGGGCGCGCGGGCATGCGGACACCCTCTCCGCCGGTCCTGGCGCGCCGGCTCCCGGAAGCGGAAGGGGAGCGCGGCGGGGCCTGGGCGGCGGCGGCGGCGACGCCAGGGAGGAGGTGGAGGAAGAGCTGCTGGAGGTCGCCGGAGCAGCGGCGGCGAGGCGAGCCAGCAGCGCCGGTGAGTGTGTGCGGCGCGGGGGGAGCGGCGGCCCCGCCCGCTGCCCCTCGGCGCCGGGCCGCTCTGCCCGGTCCCAGCGCCCTCCGGGTGCCTCTCAGTGCCCTTGGTGTACCTGCTCTCTCCGGGCTCAGACCCCGGCTCGAAGCCCCGCGGACTCTTGGTGCCCTTCTGCCCCGGGCCTGGCCTTTCAGCGCATCTTCTGCTAGAACTGCAGCGCCCGCCAAGTGCCCCGGCCATAGCCAGCGCCCCTCCCATGGTGGGTTTCTGCTGTAGGCGATGTGATTTTGGGTAGTTAAAAAAACTGTACCCTGAGTTTCTCGCCCGTAAACTACGTTTTTTCCTGTCTGCACCTCTGTGGGAAACTGGCTCCTGCATCCCAGGTCTTTCCTGTGAAATGACACTTTCATTCATTTCCAGACAGCTGCAGAGAACTATTAGGAAGAGAAATTGTTGGGTTAATGACCTTCTTTTCCCTCTGATTCTCAGTATGGTTTATGGATGGCAGCAACTTGCGTTTGTTACCTTTCTCCATGATGTGTTGTTGGATTTTAACTGGAGAGAATCTTTAAATTATGGTCTTTCTCAAACTGTATTTGGGTCAGATTTTAAGATCTCTTGTGAGTCATTGGAGAGTGTCTGTGTCTCCAGGGCTCAGAGGAGCTGACCAGTTATTACTTCAAGAAAATATTGCAGTGAACCAGTCCATAAAAGTACAACAGGAAAAAGAAATCGAGGTCACTGTGGGCAGCAGGTCATAAATGATGGTGTAAAGTTATAGTCTAAAAAAAGACGAATAAGGATAATGAAGTGCAAGTTAAAAGATCTGTCAAATGGGTCCTCTGCCTGCTATGCTAATTATCTGTCAAATGGGTCCTCTGCCTACTATGCTAATTGTGCAAGCTAAATAAATTACCTACTTTGTGGTAAAAATAATAACATAGTAGTACTTAACCATTCGATGACTACTTACTGTGTGTGATATTTAGGTTAAAAGGCATTTGATGTAATATTGAAAGTTTTTCTAACCCTTTAAATTTATTTTAAAGATAAAATTCAGAGAGCTTTTCTGTTTTGCCTTGATGTGTTTTCTTTTCTGTTTTTGAAGAAGAGGTGAGGGAACAAAAATTATTTTTTTTTCAATTGTTTTTTGTCTTTTTACTTTTTATCGGTACCAGGGATTGAACTCACGACTGCCTGCTTGCAAGGCAGGCACTTATGCCACTGAACTAAATCCCCAGCCCCGAGGGAACAAAAATTAAGTTGAAAGAATGAATCAAATAAGATTCGTTGCTATGGAAAGAAAAACCAGATTCTAGTACCATTTCTGTCATTTTACAACTGTGGGGTCAAGGGTAGGTCAGTGACCCAAGTTGTCACTTCCATACCATTAGAGAGCCAGATTAAAGTTGTGTGTATGTGTTTAAAGCTTTTACATTTTTATTTGGCAAATATATTTGTAAACAGTTTAAGACTCTTATGTTGGAGATATGTTTAAAACATTTACTTCATGAAAAGTGTTCGTAAAATTTTGGTGTAGAACAGATGAACTACAAAATTCATTTTGGATGTGAAACAGTAGAATTACATTAGAGTTCTTCAAACTATTGAGATTTCTGTTAAACTTACTATATTTTAGGAATTAGAATGGATGAATGAACATGTTTTAAATAAAATGACAAGATTTGTATCACATTACTTATCTGTGAGTTGCTTTGTGTAATAGAAATCTAAGGACTTTAAAATTTTAAATTTAAATAATCAGCAGCCTAACAGGTAGGTAGTAAAACAGGAAATCAGTGAATCATAAAATTTTACTTGTTTACCCACTTACTACTTTAAATTTATGATTTTAGTCAGTGGAGAGTGATTCAGAACCTGTGGAAAAGCATGTGAATAAAATCATGTCATGGATTAATGAAGAAACTGAGAAATCTACTAATGTCTATGTGGACTTTTTTTTTTTTTTTTTTTTTTCTGGAATTGTACCTAAGAATCAACAAAGACTTTCAGCATGTGACCATCAGTCCTAGGAGATGTAACAGGGAAAGCACAGGAAAACTTTATTGCCAGGAGATTGTTCTGTAGGATTTTTTATTTCTTTACTCTTTATGAAAAATATAGATATTTTATTACTTTGCAAATATAAGGACTGACATTCAGCTTTTCAAATGTGCTGGGAATGAAAGACAGCATAGCATGTAGTGGAAGAATCTATACATAAATATGCTTATTAACTAGAGTTGACTGTTGCTTGCTCATATTGGGGTCGAGGTGCGGCAGTGAATGGAGGGTGATGGCTATAATATGGGGGCCTCTTTTTCCTTGTACTGTTTTTAACTGAGCAGATTAACCTTCACCATTTCATAGGTAGATAAAGATTTTCTCTCTCTGCCTGTCTGTTTCCCCTTTCAAAGATGGCAGGTTAGGGAAAAGTTAATGTCTTACAATTCACTCTACTTTCAGTTGTAATTTAAAATGCTCAAGTATGATCGCAGCTAGACTCTTGATTATAAACCCGTGTGTGTGTGTGTTTTCCTCTGCACTAGAAATTGAACCCAGAGCCTTGCATGCTAGGCAAGCACTCTGCCACTGAGCTAGATCGCTGTACTTTTTTATTTTGACTGGTTCTTCCTGGATTGTTTAAGCTTGCCTCAAGCTTCTTATCCTGCCTCAGCCTTCTGAGTAGCTGAGATTACAGGCCAAGATCACCATGCCTAACTTCTAATCATTGTATTTTAGATCAAAGTTCTACTTTTTTTTTTTTTTGGCTTGAAGAGGTCCCAGGGTGATGTGTAGCAAGACAACTCATCTACATGTTTATGGTACAATACATCTGAAGTTTGTCTCCCTTTGTTACCTAGTTCACTTACTGCTGCAGATAGGAGATAGTTGGGGTGTTGACTCACTACTTTTAATGATAACTCAGTAACATTTTCATTTTTCAGTTTCTAAAAGTAGAAGTAAAACTTTTAAGCTTCCTTTTCTCTTCCTCCTCACGTTCCCCATTTCCCTTTAAGGTTATCATTTTAGAGATGCTACTTTCTTCGCACGCAGCTGCTCATGTAAGTGTCAGTTTGCAACCCAATAGAGATTTTTATCCCCATTTTACAGTTGGCCATACCTAAGCTTGAAAGGGAATAAGAGGCTGTGTTACAATGGAAATATTGCGCTTTATTTATAACATAGGTGCAATATTTTCTACTGTTGATAATAGATTGAATATTTATGTGATATTTTAAAACTTGAATTCCCTTATTGGCTAATTTGGAGGCACTTAGAGCTTGATGTTTTAGGTAAATTCACAATTAGCCAGTTTTCAGAGTAGAATATAATCAGATTACTCTTACCTTTATAAACATGTTTAAAGATACATCTAACTTTTTTCTACATTAACTTTTGGCTAAAATAATGTTTTAAGTTTCATATACAGTTTTTTCAGATAATGTTCATTTTTTTCTTGGCCACTGGAAGGAACTCTGTATGTGTGTGTTTGAAGACTTTCCTGTAAAGTAATAGTGGGGTAAAAATTGAGTAATGGCATTTTAAAACTTTGAAACTTAGTTCTAAAACTTTGGAATATCCAAAATTTTGTTGAAGTGTTTTTTTTTTTTTTTTTTTTTTTTTTGAGACAGGGTCTTGCTCTGTAGTTCAGACTGACTTTGAACTCAAGGTATATCCCAGGCTGGCCTGGGATTCCAGACAATCCTGCTGCCTCAGTTCCCTGAGTGCTGGGACTTTAGGCATGCCCAGCTGTTTTTGTTTTTACTTATTTATTTTTATTGGCATTTTGAGCCTAACATTATTTTCATACACCACATAATGAGATTTCATTCTACAGTTATCGTAGTGGTGTGGATCTAGCCTGAAATAGTTTTTTAGCAGCTCTGTCTGCAATATAGCTCTAAAACTAAATGTACACTGAGATTTTTCTTGACTTTAAGCCAGTGAGTGACTGAGGTTTGACTCATTGATTATTGGCTTGTTGAATTACTTAATAACATTACTGACAGAAACTACTGTCATCAGGAAGCCAAACTGGGGTCATTACCTTAGCAGCACTACTGACTTTGGCATTATTTCAGAACATTTTGTTGTGCCACATTTAATTGTTTGAATTTTTTTTCTGGGAACAATGTAATTCATTCCTTAACTCTTTCCTAACATATTGTATTTCCTCCTTAAGGAGCAAGTTGCAGTCAAAGAGACCAATTTAAATTAGATTCATACCTTAGAGTAGAAAGAAGTGACATTTGACAATCTGATAATCTTGAATCATAGGAAAATAGACTCTTGAGGGAAATATAGGTGATTTATTGATTGATTGATTGATTTTTTGTTTCCCTAAGTTTATGAGGAGTGGAAATGTAACAGTAATTATTGTGATATAATTTTCACATTCTCAGTAGTAATATTTGTTGTGGTGGTAGTAAAGCAGTATGCTTAACAAATTAATAACTTGCTTTTTATTTCCTGTTCTAAAGATTGCTATCACCCTTTACTAGGTCCTGAAGCCAGAAAGTTGGATATCACTTTTTGCTGTGCTTTTTGTTCCCAATTTACCACTAGGTAGGTCCTTTAAGTTTTTTTCCTTAAGGTTTCCTGGATTTTGGGAATGGTTACCGTGTTCCCTCATATTTTTCACCTGGATAACACTCAGTCTAGATTGTGGCATATGGTTGATTTCAGTGCATTAATTTTTCTAGGCCAAACCAGCCTTCAGATTGTTGCTGTGCTTCCCGAAATGCAAATTTTATCTTGGGATTTATTCCCTGAAAATCTTTTAGTGATTCCACTGTGTTCAGGGTGAAGTCCATGGCTTCCTAGTGTTTTTTGAACTGAGGTTTGCTTTCTGCCTGCGCATCATGAACTCAGTAAGCTGTGACTAGTATTATATATTTTTATTAATATAAAATAGAATAGTGATATATAACAGTGCATCTTGTGTAGGAAGGATAAAACTTTTTCAGTTATTCTTGTATTTATGTGCTTACCAATAATATTACAATAATGTTATTATTACAAGTAACATTGTTTTTTATAGTTGATTATGGTCCGGACTTTGGCATACATTATATAGTGATTCTAGTCATTTCTGGTTACGTATATTTTCTCTCCTTGCTTTTAAATACGTTTGCTTACTTTTCTGTTGGTCAGAAGAGCCTCTGGTTTTTTTTTTTTTTTTTGCTAACTCACAGGATTCCTTGTCTCTGGGAGACTTTTTCTGATGGAAATTTAATGTAAGAAATAAAGTGGTTATAATGCAGTCCAATACACAGCATCTGGGAAAATTTTTATGAACTCATACCCTTTGCGTAGAGAATGTATTTTTGATTTTTTGCTTTCTTAGTATGTCCTATATAGTATTGATTTTGTCTCTTTTACTGGTCCATTTCTTTTGAGGATAATGTCCTCTTTTTCATCTACACATTCTACCAAAGAATAACATATAGTTAGTAAATGTTGGTTGGGTTAATAAAGCAGTGAATTGGTTTATTTCATGTAAATTTTTAAGTTTTTGCTATAAGAATTAACTTTTATTGCTGACTCTTAGTAGTTTAATTGTAGGAACATTTTGGACTGAGACGTCACTCTGGGGAATTAGTATGTGCATACTGTTTCTTGTTCATTTTCTGTGTCTTTACTCTTCCTCCCTTTCTCTTCCTACTTTCCCTGATCTGATTTCTCAGCTTCAAAATGTCTGTCTTCTTGTTTTCTACCATCTCTCCTTTATTTTGAACTTTAATATATTTATACTTTGTATTTCTCATATAAGAGAAACAATATAATATTTAACTTTGTGTGCGTGACTTACGTCATTTAACATTATGGTCTCAGAATTCATCTATTTTCCAGCAGATGACCTGAATTCATTCTTCTTTATGGTTGAATACAATTCCACTGTGTGAATATACACTACATTTCTTTATCCCTTCATCTGTTGATGGGCATCTAGGCAAATATTTTCTGTTTATAAATTGCAATTAAGTATTTCTAGCCTCACGTCTTGACAGACATTACCTTGCATGTGTCACATTGGTGATCTGAGAATCTATTGTTATTTTATGGTTTGTGGTCCAGGACATTTATGTGTCCAGATTTTGAATGAGTAATACGATTTTATGGGAACCGGTTGATTTCAAAAGAGAGAACTTTCATGTATAATAGTAATCGAAACAAATTCTAGGGCAATAGGTAGGGTACCAAAGTACAGAGTCAGGTGTTGAATCATCTTTTCTTATTCCTGAACTTAAAATATTTGTAATTGACATTTTCACAGTTGCAGTATTTACTTGTTTACAATTTTTATCTTTGTGAGAGATCATTATTTGTTAAACCATTAATAGGTTCTCATGAAGAACTGTTATTGAAGAGAGGTCCATTTGGTGGAATGTAATTTAATAAAGAATGAATCGAGATAAAACTTCTAAATGCAAGAACCAGAAAAAGCACAACATATCTTGGTAAATTTGCAGTTGGTAAGTTTGCATTTGATTTTACATGGGACTGTGTATTTTATGTGGCTCAGTATCCTTGAAGTCCAATGTTTAGATGCTATTTCTAGTAAATGAGTTAATTTATTTTTATGTGTTAATTTTAACTAAACATTTTAAAGTAAGGATTTTTGTTTTACAGAGGGAAAAGTAATATGTAAGTAATACAAGTTTCAGAAATATTGTTCTAAATTGTAAATCTTGTATGGCTTTATAGGATATCTTTTTGCATGGCATTTTAACAACTAATTTTAAAAGCACCTAATATGTAATAACAAAGAGAGGCTCAAATTATATACATTTTGTTTGTAAGGTTACCAGTGTCCCTTAGGGTATTTCTGTTTTTCGTTGAAAAGGATTTAAAATTATACATATTTATTGGTACACTTAGAAAAATGCATAAATATATTAATAAGATGTGAAGCGCTCTGTTTTCCTCCAGTCCAGGAATGACCATTGTTATCAAATTGGTTGCTCTATTTTCTTCCGTATATGTTTTCTGTGCATATGCAGAAGTTGCTTATATATTACTTTTCTAACAAGAAATGCTATATAAACCATAGTATACCTTGCTTCTCCCCAGCATTTAATGTTGAAATTTGAAGTTTCAAACAAAAGCATGAAAATCAGTTTTATAATGTAATACCTGATTACTCATCACTTAGATTTTATAACTAACGTTTTATTGATCTTCATGACATACTCATCTTTTTCTCTATCCATCAGTCAACTTTATTACTAGTTTTTGGATCTATTTTAAGGTAAATTGCAGACATTGGCACATTTCCTGCAAAACACACACACACACACACACACACACACACGCCAGTTTTAGTGTACATATCATTAACAGGAGTTCGATATTGTCTCACAATTTTTTAGGTTACTTTACATACAATGAAATGTACCAATCTTGACTGAATACCTCAGTTCTGATAAAACTACACACTTGTATAACTTAACTCATATCAAGATACAGATTTTATATATATTTCCTTTCCCCTTCCGAGCCTGTCCCTGTCCCTTCTCCCTCCAGAATACCACTAAGATTCCTACCCCCACCTGTAGATTTTGTCTATATTTACTCAGTAGTACATTATAGGTTAACCATATGCAGGTCTGCCTCCTGTTTTTCCTTCTTTTTCTTCCTAAATTTCAGTAGTTTGCATATTGATATGTTAGAATTTAATCATTGCTCTCTTCTACATAGACATTTAAGTTGGCCATATTTTTTCTGATTACAAAGGTGCTGTATTCTTGTGTGCGTATGCATTTTAACACTCTCATGAGTATTTCTGTAGGTATTGCTATAAGTAAAATTGCTGGGTAAAAAGTTTTACCTTCCACAAGTGGTTCTATTGGTTTACATGTTGGTACTATACAAGAGTACCTTTCCCTGTGCTCTCTCTACATTGTATATCATCTTTCTCCTTTTAGGTTTTCTGTATGGTAAATACAACATGTATCTAGTTATTTCACACTTTCCTATTTAGTAATAATTAGCTATTGGAATTTTTTCTATATGTATATGTATGTCTATGTATATGTACTTTTATATGTCTCTAGTAAGTCATGTGTTCTACTATTTTTTCCCCAAGGATTTTTTTTTTCTTTCCTCTTTGTTTTTGATGGTTCTGTGCTCACAGATTTTAATTGTTATGTGGTCAAACGTGGCTTTAGGGATCTTGGTTATCAAAGTCATCCTCATTCCAAGTTTTTAGAACTAATTACTGTTTTTTTTCTAGTAGTTTCACTTATTATCAAAACGTAGAAGAGGAAGAAATATCTGTGAATTGAGATCTCAGGAAAAATTTCATATAGAGAATGAGATTCAAATGGGTTGAATTTAAATAGAGTAAGTGGAGTGGTAGACGTATTTCAGACAGGAGGAATGAATGATGGAATTTCTTTTTAATATTTATGGAACAGTAATAAAACTACATTGGTTGGGATAAAGTGTCATATAAAACTAAGTTTAGAAATACACATTTGGCTAGATGGCTTGCTAATTATTTTGTCTATGATGGTCTACAATCTGTATTCTGATGTTATTGTTTTCTATCATATAGTAGTTTTCTGTTATTTTTATTTCATAGTGGCTTGAGTATTCTTCCTGAAAAAAATAATGTGGTAAGATATTGTTACCTGAGAAGGAAAAAAGGAAAGGTGGTATGTTACCAGAATAATTTGGTCATCACACATATTTACTCAGTAATAGTTTGTTAGAGTTGAATTATAATTTCTTTAAAAATAGTTGGTGCTGTAGTAATTATGTAATTATGAAGTTAGTCACTGCACTTGAGTATAGTTACCGGATGGCAATCTTAAAAAAGTTGAAGTACTTGTCCATCTACTAGTCACATCAAAGTTTGAGTTATGAGCAAACCACTTACTATATAAATTGGTATGTTGGAATCTCTAGCCAATGAAAGTATTTTATAAATGCCACCCTTAAAATGAAACAGCAGCACTGTGCTCCGTGTGGTTGTTGCTCAGGATGTGTAACAGTTTCTGTTCAACCATAAGGCGTGTCTGTAGCCTGGTAGATACTAGCTGAGTGGAGTGATCCCGGGATCTGTATCAGTAACGTATTTGTGACTATAATCTGATTTGGAGCCCATGGAAGACCACTGCTCTGTATTTTACAAACCTATTGCAAAGATTATGTGGCACTAAGCTTTACTGATCAGGTATTTATTTTAAATATTCAGTATGTTACTTGTTTGTTATTTTATGTATATGTTTTTATCTTATACTTTTCCTTGAGTATGTCTTTTTTAGACTGTAGAGTATGCCTGTTTTTTGTCGTATCTGTATGTTTATATTCAGGAAAACTAGGTGCATTTTAAATACTTTTTACCATGTAATATTTTCTATTATAAGGGATCTTGTAATGATGGTAAAAATGTTAAGTTTTGGAGAGGGAATAGAAACAGGTGAAAAACTGAATATTTGATAGTTATCCTACTTATTTTGCTGGATTATATGCTCTTTTCTGTTGTTAATAGTAGTCACTGTATCCTGTATAATTACTGGAATTCATACTTTTTTTTAGTGCTAAATAGAACCAAAACATAAAAAGGACAGTACATGAAGTTAGTAATAGTGAACATGTTAAGAGAGTTTCTGTCATTTCTTTTTGCATTTGATAGTTGGCAAGGCTGTAAAAAATTAATATTCTTTGCAGCATTTCTTTTTAGCTGTACACGTAAGTTAATTTTTGTGTTTGAGCTACTTTAGTTTTAAAAAATGATACCTAGCCAATTACATAGTATGCTTTATCCTCTGACTTTCTTCACTTTAATGATACTGATTTGTCTTCTAATTTCCTAATTAAAAGGTAATAAAGTTCAACTTTTACTTTTGAAAGCCCTGGGCACTATTGCTATTTTAGATTTCTTATATATAAGTACTGATTTGGACCATATCTGGTTTATAACACTGGATGATACTGCATTTGAGTTGGTCTACATCTTCCTTTTCCTCTTCCTCTTTCTCTCTTCTCTTTCCTCTTCCCCTTCTCCTTCTTTGCCCTTCTCCTTCTGTTGTCCCACTGTTTGCTGTATCTAGGAATGAGAGGAAGAGTATTCCTGTAAAATTAACTTCGTGTTCTGTTATTTCTTTGTTTTGATAGCTTTATGGCTTTGGTGAGCATTGGCATTTCAGGGATGGTACCATGGTACCAGGGATGGTACCATGAGGCTCTTCATTTGAAAATAAGTTATTTTTGAATGGTCTAGGATACAAGTTGGAAATCTAGGAGTCATTCCTCACTTTCCTATGTGACTTCTAATATAGAAGCAATTAGAAAGACTAGCTTGCTTCTGTTTCTGTTGGTCTTGTCTCTAAAATGTTCCTTGGTTTTTGTATTTTCTTAAACTGTCTTTATTGTCTACACCAGAGCTCCAGTAACTTGTTGAAAGTACAGATCTTCTCAGGTTAATCCCTTGCTTTGATGGCTTTCCTGTACATAAGAATGAATGCAGCATTCTGAATGGTACATCTTTATGTCCTTCGTAATACAATCCCTTCTTTCTGCCCAGCCACTGTTCACAAAAAGTTTTATGATTTGCAATGACAGTTTATATACTTAGTTCTCATCTAATATGCCCATATTAACAACTTGTTTACAAATCTGGAAGTTAGCATACTATAAAAAGGCTTTTTAAAATGACTTTTTCCCACTAGATGGTTATTTTCTTTAGGTAAGGACCATGTTTTATTCACATTTCTATTTATAGTATCTAGTAAGTGGAAGCTTACTAGATACTCCTAGATAGTGGAGGCTCTGACCTAGGTTCAACTCGATGCTGTGACAGGACATCTGAGTGAAATTCCTTAGTGGTTTCTAACAGCTGTATTAGCACCTGTAGAGTATTTTAATGTGTTTTATTGTTTCTGGAGCATTAAGAATTCAGTAAATCTGGAATGGTGTCTATGATTGTGTAGTTCTTGAAACCTCTTTAGTTGATTCTAATTTGCTTGCAGGTATGAGAATCATTGTCTTTATTATTATACCTTTTTTATGTAAAAGGTACTCCCTAGACCATGTAAATAATTGTATAAGCTTTTTGAGTTGTATGTACTGAAGTATGGATGTATTTTAAAAGTCTTTAATCGTATCATATGTATAGAAATACCTTAACTCTTTCATTGTCTCATTTGGAGATCTGTTGGCAGATTTTTAGTGTACGACTGAAAAAAGCATTCAACTTGAGAGTAATGAGATTTGTTGGACTTCATTCTGTGGATTTTAATATTTTTAGCCACTTGTAGTTTCAAAATCATCTCCATAATGTTCTGTTATGCTTGAAAATTAAATTAAAGCATACAGGCTTGAAGTATAATAGCTCAGTGAATGTTTACATATGCAGATACCCACAAAGTACAGTTCAGGTCAGGATATAGGGCAAGCTCCTTTTCAGTTAATACATACTTCTTCCACTCCAAGATAACCATGATTTTGACTTGTATGACCATCAGTCAGTCTTTCAGTTCAAGCAACTAAAAGTTTTACATGTCTTTTGGTGAATATATGTACTTACGTCCCTTGAATTTACACATGGAATTGTTGGGTTAATAAAGAATGTATTTTAACTTACGTAATGCCAGTTTGTACCTTTAATATCAATTTACAATGAAAAATTAAAATTAAACTATTTAAAGCTTTGAGTGAAATTTGAGTATTTTGAAGTTTCTGTTTATTTTCCTATGTTTGTTGTCAAAAAAAGTTTATAAAAGTAACTCATTTTATAGTTTCTAAAAATACGGTTTTAGTCAAATAGATTTTTCTATGTTAGTAATTTTTTTCTTTTTTCTTCCTTAGGATTATCTTTCCTTGTGTGTTTGCCAGCAGTTATAGGACTGTAAAAATGGGTCTCCGGATTCACTTTGTGGTTGACCCACATGGTTGGTGCTGCATGGGTTTGATTGTCTTTGTCTGGTTATACAATATTATTTTAATTCCCAAAATTGTCCTCTTTCCACACTATGAAGAAGGACATATTCCTGGCATACTAATAATAAGTAAGTTTCTGTGTCTTTGTTTCCTTAAGAGTTTTCTCATTGTGAATGTTTTTGAAATGTAGTGTTTCTTCTATGATAACCTTCCTTTTAATGTGCCAATTATTTTATTGTGTTATAAATATTGTCATTCACTAAACTATGGAAGTTTTAAAAAAACCTTTATATATTTGCAAAGTTAGGTAATAATGTTCTTTCCATATTCATCTGGCTCTGCAAAATATATAAAGATTATTTTGGTGAAGAAAAAAAACTGATATAGCATGACAATTTGTGTGTGTGATTTTAATGTTTCTTTTTGAATTTAGTTGAAAATTTTAAAGTTATAAGAATGGAGATGGTCTGTATACATTGCTAGGAAATGTGATTTTATGATATGAAAATCACTGATTATGAAAGCACTTTAAACTTCTGGGTAATTATTTTCTGCTCCAGTCCATTGATAATGACTTGGTTATGATTTTAAAAATCATATCCAAGTGCTACATGTACATGTCATTTACACTTTTCACATACTTTACCTCATTTTGGTTTCGCAAGAGCTAAGGGAAATATTACCTTTGTTTTAAAAATGATAAAATGATCAATCTGTGCAGTTCTAAAGTGAGCACTCAGACTGTTCATTTTACATTATCTTGTTTTTAGTCATTCAACAAAATTCCTCTTTTCAGTTCAAATCGAAATTATAGTGAGTGAATCAATTTTTTGTTACTTATTTTTATGTTTATTTTAAAATTCAAAGGCTTTTTTATTAAGAGATTAAGGTACATTGAAAGGCAATTAAATATCACTAATTCTGAGTCATTTTGAAGATAAAAGGTTTACATGCAGAATATTTTTAAAATACTATTTTAATTCTTTCAAATGTAGTACATGTGGTTAAAAGGGAATCCATTCATTTACACCATTGTTAATGAAGAATACTGTTTATAAAGAACCTGATTCGTAGCAACATTATCCATTATTACCCTGTAAAGTAATATTCAAAATTGGTACATTTTCTTGGTAGTAGATTTGGTGAATGAAATGAATTGGTTGTTGAATTTTTTGAAAATTATCTTGGTGTTAAATAAAACTTTTAAACTAACTATGCTTGTTAATAAAATGCTTTAAAGAGTAATTGAGTTAATTTGTTTATTTTCAAGTATTCTATGGCATTGCCATATTTTGTCTGGTTGCGTTAGTGAGGGCCTCAATAACTGATCCAGGAAGACTCCCTGAGAACCCTAAGATCCCACATGGAGGTATGGTACTCTTTGGATTTATGAGTTTTACTGATGCCAGAATTATAATCTCTAGTTAATATATTTTATTGCCTTGCATTTGTTTTATGCCATTTAACACTACTTTTAAGTTTGTTCCTGATATTTCTTTCCAGATTTCTCTATTAAAATTGCACCTTGGCCCCTCATATCCCTTTCATTGCCTGGCAATTCTTTCCAGTTGTTGACATTTATCTCCCTCTACCCAATCTACATTTATATGTTGCTCTCCATAGCTAAGTTGTGTGAGGCTGTGGATTTTTGTTTTGTGCTATAACCTTGGTGTCCAGCAGTCTCTGCCTCTTAGAAGTGCTACAGATATTTGTGATTGGAATATAATTATGTGAGATATTTTTCATTCATTTTGGGGGAATAGTCTTAAGGTATTAAACCCAGAAATACTCTACCACTGTTTTGTATGTCAAGCCCTTTTTAAAATTTAATTTTGAGACAGAATATTCCTAAATTGTTGAGGCTGCCCTTAATTTAATCCTTCTGCCTCAGCCTCTCAGATAGCTGAGCATATAGTCACATGCCACTATTGCTGGCTGAGAAATTCTATTTTCCTTTGCAGAGGTAATTTTCTTGTTGGTAGTTAGCCTCGAGATATTGCAAATATATTTCTTAGAGTTTAGTGTTATGGACACTAGTACCTCTAATTCTCCAAATTGTAACAATTCAGTGAAAAATTTGAAAATCTTTTGTACTAGTGTATTTAAAGATAACTTTCCTGTTGTATAAATATTCAAACCACAAAGATGAATGAAAATATATTACTGTATGTATACAATACCTGATGTTGTGTAAACCTATTTATCCTTTGAGTCTCATTGTTTGATTGTTTTGCTCTCTTGTTTTGTTTTGAGAACTCTGCATTTTATTCTAGTAAAAAATTTATTTATGTCTTTGTAGTACATAATAGAACCAATACTCTTTAAAATAATTTAATAGCTTTTGTGCATGTTAGAATTACCTGGAAAGTGTCTTAAAAATTTTAGTGTCTAATTCAGTCAGAATTTAATCAGAATATATGGATGTATGCATTGGTATTGTTTCAAAAGATGCTAGATAATTCCAGTGTGCAGAAAAGTTTGGAAACTAATACAATAATTCTTTACATAATAAGGATTAAGTACCAGCTCACTTAAAGAACCTCATAAGTCCTGATTTTATGTTCTTGAAATCCATCACTTTTGGATTACCTTGCAAATTGAGAGATCAAATAGGATAATGTTAGTGTTTTTTGTGGCTATAGAAATTTCATACCACTATGTTGAACATTTAGTTTTTACTAACTTGTAGGAATTAGTGGTTAGTATATAAGTTAGTTGATGTTTTGCAGTGGGGATAGAGAAGAGTATGGCACTCAGTGATCTGTATAGTGAGTTCCTTTTCCCAACTGGCATAGCTGAAACCTTGCCAACATAGTGTATAAATGCGTTATTTACTTTAGTGTTAGAATGCAGTAACCTAGAACAAAAGCATTTTAAAACACGTTGAATGCATTTCTGATGAATTCAAGTGGCAGTAGGTTCCAGACACACCTTAGTAGAAGGGACCAGGTTTCATACTGAAAGGACACATAGCTAACAGGAGGAGTGCCACGACTCTGCCCTTGTGAAATTATCATGCACCTGGATTGTTAAATCTTAAAATTTGAAAAGAGAAAAAGGCTTATCAGTCTGGTTTTTGTTATGAAATACCTGAGACTGGCTAACTTTATAAAGAAAAGGTTTATTTAGATCACTATTTTCACTGCTAGAAGTCCAAATGACAGGGTATATGCTCTGGCAAGGATTTAGAATTTCCAGTAGAATCCTTGTTCCATCTAGGACTAATTTTCCAGTCTTACTCTCTTCATAGCCCTCACTAGAATTGTCCATAAGATTTTGTTCTGTGTTTTGTGTTATAGTAGCAATATACTTGAAGTAGGATATTTATGAAGGAAAGAGTTTCATTTAACTCACAGTTCTGGAGTTTCAAGAATGATATCTGCCTGAGAACCATTTTGGCTGGGTCATGTAATAATGAATTTCAAAGGCAAGACAGATGGGGATGAGAAAGGGTATTGCTAAACTGGAAACTAGAAAGAGACCGGGGCAGGAACCTCCCCTGAGATCTCACTCCAGGAAATAGTATTTTTTCCTTGCATGGACAATGTTACAGTGACCTAAGAACTTCCTGCAAGTCCTGTCTTTTAGAGATGCCATCAGCTTGCACATCACCACATTAAATACCAAGCTTCCAACACATAGACCCTTGTGTTGGAGATAAATAACACGCAAATCATTTCAGAAGGGAATCCCAATTTTTGAGAGGAATTCTGTCCTTCAAGAAAGGTCTGGGTTTATTCTTCAGCACCATATGTATTTACAAAAGTCAACAACTAATTCACAGTTTATAAAATATGAGTACAAAACAAGTATTTGCGGGCTTAATTGCGCCCATGAAAGGACTGTTATCTTTAGAGTACTCTAGTACTGAAGAACCTCATGGCATCTTGCTGATTTTTTGGATGTCTATATTTTATTGTGTTTCAGTTGGCTTATTTCTCTTCCTTGAGTCCAAGAAACTTCCATATTAATCGGTTGGAAAAAATATATTTATTTATTGTATTTTGATGTTTCCAAAGTCCTTTGATGTCTCATATCACATGATCCTCCTAGTAATTGAGGTGGGTAGGCTAGATAGTTGGTAGCATGGATTGTACATTCTAGGTTATACAGCTATGATGTTATAGAGCTGGCAGGAAGCCCAAAGTCTTGTCTCTGTTATTTTATCTTGGGCCTACTGGTACACAGAGATGAACAGTGTTAGCTCTTTTACTATGATTCTGGTAAAGTTGAAATCATCATGTATTTTTTGGTGCTGGTTATCTGATTCTTATAATATTTTTTTTTTTTTTAATTTTTTTGGGTCTTTTTCCTTTTATTGGTACCGGGGATCGAACTCACGACTGCCTGCTTGCAAGGCAGGCACTTAGGCCGCTGAGCTAAATCCCCAGCCCCCAATATGGTTTTAACTTAGTAAAAACAGTGCAAAATTTTAACAGTGAAAAATAACACTATGATTAAAGAGTTGAAGCTATATAATGGTAACATTTATTCTGGAATGTTTGAAGGTTGAACAGTTTCATATAATTAAGCTCTTCAGCAAGGCTTTAGCCTTAATACTTTTTCATTCTGTCCTAATTTAGTTGAATTACTCTGAAGTATTTTATCTACCTTTTCTTTTTTTAAAGAATAACTTTATTATACATGAGATCTATTAAATCTGAAGCATATTGAATCCTATGAGAAATTCCCAGAATTTGCGTTTGAACACTTAAGGGTTTAGAAGAAATAGTCCAGTGAAATAGTTACATATCTGATTATAATATTTAAGTTATTTACATGCATATTTGATATAACAAATATAAAGATATGTCTTAACTTTAAAAATATTTTTATCACTTTCATATTTTATGAAATGATTTTATTCAAACTCAATGATTTTTTGAGTGTAAATTCCTTTCAAGTGTGTGATTTCATGGCTTCTGGTATATTTAAAACATTTGTATTATCAAATTTTTGACTGTTGTCATCCAAAGGACCACTTTCTTTTTTGAAATAATGTTGCATAGCAGAATCTTCCAAGATTTTTGTTTTGATGCTATTCCTCAAAATTTTACCCCAAACTATAAGAATGCATGTGCTGTTTATGATCAGCTTTTATTCTTTCTTTTTGTATTACGGACGTTTGTTTCCTACTTTGACAGTCTTTTATGTCATGCAATCTATGTAGGATCTAAATCTTGTATTAAGTTTGGTAGTTTCAAGTAATGTTTTTTTCTCCAAAACAACTTTGTGATTTAAAATACAATAGTTTAGAGAGGGTCTCATAAAATGAGAGTCTTCTAAAAGACAGATATGCATTGTCTATGTTTTTTTGATGTATTCGTCTGGTTGGTAATCTGTGTATGATGATTTTATAATGACAGGATAAATAAATCTGATGCTGGCAAAATAAAAGGGGAATGGAGGGAAGAAAGGAACTGGAATTGAGATGTGATACCCTGTACTGTACTGTATATGTACTGTATGTCCCTATAACAAATGTAATCATTGCGTACTGCAGACATAGCAATAAAAAACCATGCAAGCAGAACATGATTCCCTTTTTCTGAGATAAACCAAAGTCAGCCAAATCAAACATTGCTTTATATTCACTGAGGCATTTGTAGCATTAGTAAAAGAGACATTAGTAAATAAATGTTATGCTGTGTACTTTTGTTGCATCGCCTCTGTCATTTATGGAGTGTCTTTTTTTCTTTTTTCTTTCCCTTAAAATAGGTATCTATTAATTTTGAATTTTTCTGCAATAACAAATCATCAGTTGAATTCTATTGTAGAGTTTTATTAGCATTATTAGCTGGCTATACAGAAATCTTGTAGGTAATCATCAGAATGTATCAGTCACTAAGATCCTATTTAGACATTAGTAAACTTCAAAGAACAAAAAGGCAAGGTGTAAAATACATTTTATTTATAGATAGACAAGGTGAAAGTGAATGGATTTTTTTTCTTACACAAAGAAAAAACATTGTGGATGTTACTTTAATTACAGTTCTGAAGTTTTACAATAGTAATTTCTTTGTTCTTTGATCATATAGAGTGTGTTTGCTTGTGCGTGTTGTGAAACTGAGTTTATAGAGGTCTTTCTTATTTCAGATGCTTCTTTAGTATCATCAGTGTATTTTAAGCTATTTCTTTATAAACAAATTTGTGGTCCACACTGTAGACCAGCAAACTCTTCTTTACTCTGAAAGTCTAGTAGTAAATATTTTCAGCTTTAGGGGCCATATGGTCTCTGTCACAACTCAGCTTTGCCCTTGTGGCACAAAAACAGTCAAAGATAGTATGTAAATGAATGAATATATAACAAATAAAACTTTGTTTTTGGACACTAAAATTTGAATTTCATGTGATTTCTACATGCACATTTTATTATTTCAATTTTTTAAAAGTTATAAAAATCATCCTTAGCTCACAGGTCATACAAAATCAGACAGTGAACTGAATTTCCTGCAGACTGTTTTGCCAAACTGGTCTAGAGTCCAAATTTCAGGCTTTTTCTGACTGTGCTAAACGCTATCTTTTTTGAAGTTATAACATTTTAGATTTGAAATAAATAATTTATTCTCTAGAATATTATGTGTTGATTTCTCAGAAAATACCAGAGTGAAAACAGTGTATTTGTTTTAAAGACTTTTTTATAAATGTAAAGTTTTTATGTTGCCTTTCATGCAAATTGGTTTATTATAATTGGTTTATAAAATCTCCTTCCTGACAATATTCTTTGCTGTATGAATTTCGAGTTTTAATGTTGGAATTTTTAGAAACATTAAGCTAAGTGGAGGAAAAGATGATATGCTTGACAATTAAATGAGTTGCCATTTGACTTGTTAAATACCTGCCTGCACTGGCTTAACTGTATCTAAGTTAAGCTTTAATGTTATGCCCATACTTTCAGTAAGGTGGAAGAGTAATATAAAAATAAATGCTGAAAATTTTAAAAATTTTGTTAAAGTAAAATTGTATTGCAACAAATATTAAAAAGTTATATTTTATATAATAAAAGGCAATTATCTTGACTTAAAAAACAACTCACCATTTTTATGGGCCTTAGGATAAAAATGCCTTTTCTCTTTATAGAAATCTCATGCTTTTAGCACAAGAACTTAATAGTGTTCTCTTTTAATATGTGTCAGAGAAAATTGCTATTTGGTGGTGGGGCAGATTTTTTTTTAAAGAATCCTTTTATTTACATTGCATTTTATTCTTCTTGTAACCTTAACTACTGAAACTATTCTGATATCTTTGAAATTTCTATGATCTCTCCCAGTGAACTCCTATCTATAGTCCCAGATTAATCCATTGATATTAGAAAAATAAAATGATTTGGGTGTAATAATGGCAAATGTATGGCACATATCCCACAGTGGGCTGTTTGTATCATTGAACTAAAAACTTCACCTTCACTGGTTGCGGGAAATAAGAGAAAGTGCTATGTATTTGATGAGAGGAGGTGCCACGTGTGTTTGCCTTGCATGAGTTTATGGGATTGATTTCCAATTTTTATTCCACTCAAACCAGGACTTTAAATTATTTCTTTTTTTTTTTGTGCTTTTAGATAGTAAAGTTTCTATAAATTAACTTTTCTAAATAAAATAATTTGATTGGACACAATGAATAAAATAGTTTGATGGACATTAGCATTTTGTTACCACATTTTCTTATATTCTAGTAATACATTCAAAACACAAACATACTGTTTTATGTCCTTTACCTTGACTGTAATAGTACTTTATTTTTGTTGTGTTTAAAATTAGAAACATACAAAATAGACATACGTAGAACAGTTACATTATTTGCAAGCAAATTTACACAGAAGTCTTAGAAAAATATGTTAGAGATATACAATGAAGGCTTCCTGTATAATCTCCCGAACAGTTGTTACTGAATTGCAACCTTTTAAATTTTTCTTCATTAATTGGATTTTAATTTCCTTTTCTAGAAAGGGAGTTCTGGGAATTATGTAATAAGTGTAATTTGATGAGACCAAAGCGTTCCCATCACTGCAGCCGCTGTGGCCACTGTGTAAGGAGAATGGATCATCACTGTCCATGGTAAGGAAAGAATAATTCACTGTTGGGGGAAAAAAGCTGAAAGAAAATCTTAGGACTAGCAGATTTAAATAAAGTTATATTAAAATTATTCAGTTTAAAAGAAACATTTTTTAATAAAGTTATCTTTAGGTTGATTATAGGTATCCACAGTTATTTTTTCACAGGCATTTTGTTGTTGCTAACAGAAATATTTGAGCAGAAAACTCAAATTGATATGTACTAAATTACACAAAAAGCCTAAGGTGCGTGTGTTAAATGAGCCAATGTGTAAAACAATGTGGTACAATATCTGACCTATAGGAAGTCCTCATGTCATTGCTGTTACTTTGTTGTAATAAACCCTGTGCATCCCATTGTTTGTATTTTCCCTCTGTTCAAAGAAAGAACAACATATTGCTAGTACCCATATGACCCCCTTCTATTCTTTTAAACCTTTTTAAGTATTATGTATTGGATATAGATTTTAACATTTTGTGCATGTTGGCTGTGTATTAACTGTAATTAGCTGTTTCTGTTGCATTGCCAACATTTTTGGTCAATAGAGGGCTCTCTTGTAATATTTAAAGAAACTCTTCAGTTAAAAAATAGAATTTTTGAAAAATGCTATGAGAATTCTGTATGGTATTTAATTTCAAAACCATCACAGAAAAAAAAGAAGATACTATATTCAATTCTGTTTTCCTAGCATTGGATTTGTGTAAACATTTAAACTGGTATAGTATTTACAATATACATGTATTTGTTTGCACATGTATGCATGCATATAGCAGATTGATGTATAACTTCATTTCTCTGAGTTAACTGAAGCGTCAAATCTACTTTTGCCTAATAATACCATTCAATTTAGTTTCCCTTGTTCCTGTAACTTATGTTGATGACATTACTGATTAACAGACTTTCTGTGGAAATTTGGTTCTTAGTACACACTGTTGTAATAGAAGGTAATTTCTTTCTATTCAGATTAGATTAGATTAGAAAATTTAAGAATATTTTAGAGAAAATAACCTTTTGTTACTGTATTACAATTTTAAATAATATTCTAAATCCATCAACAAGATAGTACATGATATACAGCATTCAAAAAATGTACCTTATTAAAGTAGGATAATTCCCAAGTAACTATCTAAATTTCCATAATGTCTGCAATCCCAACATAACAGATTTTTAAAAGCCATATGTGGGAACGGGTATATAGCTCAGTGGCATAGCGCCTGCCTGGCAAGCACAAGGTCTTAAGTTTGATTCCTGGTATGAAAAACAAACAAACAAAAAAAGCTATACTAAACATGTATTCAGATAAATGGTGCATGCACTTAATTTTAAGCACTTTTTGTTGTATTTCTGATTAAAAATAATAATAAATGAGCCAGGTGTGGTGGCATACACTTGTAATTCCAGCACTTGGGAGGCTGAGACAGGAGGATTGTTGTGAGTGTGAGGCCAGCCTAGGCTACAGAGTGAATACAACGCCAACCTGAACTGCATAGTGAAAACCTGCCCCCCCCCCCCAATACGGTAAATGTTCACAGTATAGTTGGATATCGGTGCTTCCTTGCAAATAATGCCATAGGACTAGCTTGTTGGTAACCAAATAAAGGTGGTGTGCCACCTCAATTCTAATGCTGGTGTGATTTCTTTGTTTTTAGGCTTATCACTTCAATAGGTTTATTCAGCTTTAAGAGTATTGGTAGCAGGCAGAGGGGAATTTAAAAAGACTGGAAGCGATGATCAAAAGGGGGTCTATATATGTAGTGTGATTGAAAAATATGGTAAATGTCTTAAGTTTTAAAACATTGTTATAGTGAAAGATACAGTATCATCAATACTTTACAAAATACTGTACTCTGCCTTGTCTCAAACACTGATCTGATCATTCTTGTCACTTTCTGAAGTAGTTCTGGAAGTCCTTTTCTGTGTGTGTCTTTACTTATCCTGACATGGTGGTCTCTATGTCCTGAATCCATTCAAAATATTTATGTTTCATGATAATGATGAGCTGGAAAAGCTAGAAGTCATGTGGTGCCAGATCTGGTGACAAGGTGAATGAAGACATTAATCACAATGTTTTTGTTTGACAGAAATTGCCATAAACATCTTGAATTGATTTAGGATATTGAGGCAGCCATGAAAGGACACTCACAAAAGAAAACTTCCCAGATCACCTCAGAAAGTGGCAAGAATGATGGAATAATTGTGTTCAAAGTGAAGGAAGTCTGAGGGGGATTGGTGACAATGTGTCTTTTAGTGTGAGAAAGTCTTTAAATTTTTTAATGTAAACATGCACCATATTTTTTGTTATATCCTACAGAATTAGGACTTTCATGATTGCTGAAATGTTCAGAGAGGGAGAGAAATGTATAGACTGGAAGCAGAGATAATTTTTGATGTTTTCAGAAATGACATTTATTTTAACTGCATAGCAACTTTAGATTTGGAAGTCAGTTCTCAGATTGCTTTAATGTTTTCTATGCTTTTAGCTTTGATCACATTGCTGAAATGTTTTAAAAAGGGTGATTAAATACCTGAGTGCTTCTTAAAGCTCTCTGGTTAGGAAGGCTGTGATTACAACAGATTTTCAGACCTCTTGGGCATAGGAAGGATGGACAAGGGTGTCATCTTTCAAGCAAAAACTCTTTAAAAGTACTTTTGAGCACATTTTTAAAGTTGTTTCACTTACAGTTCTGCTTGCAAATAACAAAATGTACCGTGTTTTCTTATTTGTAAATCATGTACATATAATTTGTAGGTATTCTAGATTTTCATTGAAGTTCTCTCTCTCTCTGTTTCTTTCTTTCTTTCTTTCATTTTTTGAGATAGGGCTTTGCTGTGTAGGCTGGTCTTGAACTCATTATATAGCCCAGGCTGGCCTAGAACTTGTGGCAATCTTCCTGCCTCAGCCTTCTGAGTTTTACATGTATGCACCACCACACCTGGCTGTTTTTGATTTTAAAACAAATTAATGACACATCTTAAAAACAGTAGTTTAAATTAGGATTAGAGCCTGCTATATCTTTTTGTCCCCCAGTGGTAGTATAATACTATTTTGAAATGAAAACGTGCATGCAAGGTAATTCTGAAATAGAATTTTCTGCTGAAATTTTACAGTATATTGAAAACTTGAGCACAGTAAGTTTAGAGCAGTAAAATACTCAGCTTCAATTACCCTTGAAAATTCTTGGGTTGGAACAACCTGTTTTCTAGTTAGATTTCAATGTTGTGTGGGTGAAAGTATAGTTATAAGTATTTGTAAGTAGTTTTGAATACATTTTTATTTTTAGCTACCATGCATAGGTTTTTTAAAAACATAAGAAAAATTGTGAATACTCAGCACATATTTCAAAGTGGCCGAGTTTAAGCTGTTTTACTTGAAAACATTCAAGTTGTTCTCATTTATAATGCTGTGCTTGACAAGAGTTGTTTCTTTTTCCTCTCTTGGTCTTCTTTTCTAACTGCATCCTCTGGCTGATGGTGGCTTAACTCCTTTGTTTCTGTTTCTGTACCAGTCACAAGGGAGACTACCTATGGTCTGCTTTTCTTTGCCTCACTGGGTTGTTGTGAGTTGAAGGAGGGTCATATGTATGTGGACTTCCTTCATAGAGTAGAAAATGCTTTACAGATGTAAGATGGTGTATTTTTTATCTTTGCACAGTTGGCTTTCAGGTGAGTGACTGTAACATCACTCCGTGAAATTAAGCATATATGAAGTTTATCTTTGGTCCTACTCATCAGCAAATGAATGATTATTAAAGTTTAACGTACCGTTTCTTTCCTTGTTTTCCCCTTTCAGGATTAACAATTGTGTTGGTGAAGATAATCATTGGCTTTTTCTGCAGTTGTGTTTCTACACTGAACTTCTTACTTGCTACGCACTGATGTTTTCTTTCTGCCATTATTATTATTTTCTTCCACTAAAAAAGCATAATTTGGTAAGAAACATTTATATACACTAATGTTAGATCAGCTGTAGCATACAGTTAACGTTATGGTTCCTTTAGCTGCAGAAGATTAAAAACAAAAACAACAAAAATAAACCCAAATTAGTGAATTTTGAAATATGTTGGAATTGAGAACGTACACCATAGTGTGACATTTCCTTTAAAATAAATTATTTTATTATTTGTTAGTGGCATTCTTTAGAAAAAAATATTGTCTCTTTAAATATGTGTTTTGCTTTAAAAGTACTTAATGAAAAAAATGGAAAAGTTGAAGTGGTTTCTTTATAGGAATAAAAAACATAGGTTTTTAAACATTGTCAAAGGAAAAGGATTTAGGAAAAGGATTCCTTCCACCCCTGTCTTTGAAGAACAATAATAAAATGGCTTTGCAGATTGTTTTATAGAGTTACATCTATACCATTTGAGGCTAAGCTTTTGGTGCTCTGTAGAGGAAGTGTAGTAGGTGTTAAGACATGCCCAGAACAGAGATTGCAGAGGTGGTGGGGATAGTAGCAAATGGAATTTTGGATTCATTGACTGCATGTCAACACTGTGCTATGGACATCTCATCTTAATTCTTGCTTGATGTTCACAACACCCACTTTAACAGACTAGTAGAGATTAAAAGAGGTGCTGAAGGCACAAAGCTAGGAAGTGATTGTTTAGCTGATTTTAGTTTTAGAGCTGGATTTGAACCTGATCTTAAATGTTTTTTGTTATTCTTTCAGTTTTACTTTGACTTGAATAGGGATTTTAAAGGTACAGTGTGTGTGTGTGACTGAGAAAGACAAGAACAAAGTATGACAGTGTGTCAGTGATGTAACATAGGGAGGGGAAGGGAAGAAATGAAACCTCAGATGGGGAAGGGAGGGGTTTTTCCACTTTGTACATTTAAATATTTTATATAAAAATTTCATCATGATATTACATTACAGTTAAATTTTGGAGTAAGAGAATGAGACAGAGTCTCAAGTTCTATGTGTTTGCATGGTATTAATGTATATGGTCATTTCAAATTGAAAGAATATTGGCTGCTGCTGTTTGGGTGTATATATTAGTGGATCCTTGTAATTATGCTGATTTAATATAGGTTGAGAAGTTAAAATTAGGTACTAATAACTGAAGAAAATTCAAAACAATTTTTAGTGTAGGTGCTTACCATTTGCACTGAGAATATTGTCTTAAGAGTGTTTCACTTTGAGATAAATTTGTGGCAAATTGGTATTATAGTTAGAACATGTAAAATAATCTTTTGAGTAAACTCTAATATAATTAAACCTCATAAGGAAAGCATTAAAATTCCTCAGTGGAATTAAGATTATAATTTTTTAAAAATGGAGGGAAAAGGAAATTCAGTGAAAAGCTAAATATCTGGGAGAGGAAATGCATTACAGTATAGTGCAGAGACTGGTAAACTAGACCTTATATTAAATTTAGCCTTCTCTTATCCCCAAATAAAATTTTACTAGAAAACATCTGTTTTCATTTGTTTATATATTGTCTGTGGCTGCTTTTGTGGTACAACAGAAGTGAGTAGTTGTGATAGAGATTGGCTAGCAACACTTAAAATATTAACTGTCTCTTTAAGTTTGATGATCCTTGGTGGTGAATTTTGACTTTGCAAACAGACACGCCTGGGATCAAAACCTGGTTTGTTTTTTTTTTACTACATGCGTACCCTTTGCCAGATTGCTTCACTTCTGTGATTTGTAATTTCTTGTAGTTTCTTCTTCTGAGATACATGAATAATAGTGAAATTAAATAAGATAATATGAGTAAAGTACCTGGTATATTGTAAGTCTGTGATTTGTGTTATATTTTAGTGAAAGTTCTCAAAAAATAGAGTTTTTTTGGCCTATTAATTTTTATGAAATTTTACAGACAGTTTTGTACTGTTACTGGGAGGTTGATGACAGCCAAAAAAATTCCAATAATCAAATAGAAATGTATTGATAAGATTTAAGTGGAGAATTAGACATCTGAAACTACAGATTGCTTTTTGTATTGAAATGAGAGTCAGGTTTTTGTTTTTTTTGCCAAATATTATAGGTGTTTTTAAAATATATCTATATCTAGTACTACTATAATATCTATATTGTAATATCTAATATCTACATTGTAGTACACACAATACTACAACTAGGCATATACAAACAAATTTGTTATATCTTCTTGGTAGATTGACTTTTTGTATCATGTAAAATATCTCCTGATCCGTAATAATGATTCTACCTTAACAATATTTTCAATTGTTAGTTATATCAACTTTCTTTGTTTTCATGGTCTTTTTTTGTGTTTACTATTAAGCTTTGTTATATGCTTCTGTATGTATATGTATATTATGAGTGTTACTATCAGCATAAGAAGTTTGTTAAATGATTAAAAATATGAGGAAGAGAATATGTAAAAAGTAAGTAAGGGTTAGGTTTTGAAAACTCCCGCCAGATTTTCCTAAGAGTAATTTAATTGTCAAAAAAATACAGGTTAGTTTTTATAGTCATGTTAGTTACAGTACTCTATTACCAAATGAAAATTGAATAATTAGGTTATATTGGTTGTAAGAAAGCTATTTAGATAATAAGCAGTAACCTATAAGTGTAGAGACCTGCCAGACTTATGTCTAGTGGTGTTGAACAGGTACCGTTCTCTCAGCCTAACTCGTATGGTACTCTTGTTGAATTATGTGGGATGTTTCTGTAATTTACCATTAGTGTTAGTGGTAATGAGGTGAAAATTCAAAGAGTTCATGTAATGACCCTTTTCATTTTGTTGGTTGTTCCAAGATCATTTACTGAGGAGCAGTTACATAAAAATTTTTTTTAAAGTTTTTATTTATTTGATACTGGGGGTTGATCCCATGGTGTTTACACTGAGCTATATCCCTTTAAAAAATATATTTAATTTGAGACAGGGTCTTGTTAAATTGCCCAGCCTAGGCTTGAACTTCCATTGCTCCTGCCAGAGTGCTGGGATTATAAGCATGTACCACCATGCCCAGCTTCAGTTGTTGTTGAAAAATAACAATTTTATAAGTGCCATTTTTCTTCTTGAATCAATATTTTTTTTTTTTTGTCTTTTCATTTTTATCGGTACCAGGGATCGAACTCACGACCACCTGCTTGCAAGGCAGGCGCTTATGCCGCTGAGCTAAATCCCCAGCCCCTTGAATCAATATTTTTAACCATAGCTGTTTTTCTTCTTGCATTAGTATCTTATTTTTTTAAAAAATTATATTGGTATATTTTTGATACACATAATGATAAAATTCATCATAGAGAATTTGTACCTGTGCATGATATATCTTCATTCATCTTTTTTCCCCAATCTCAACCCCTCTCTTTTACCCCCTTTCCTCTCCTTATTTACAAAAGCTTTGTTTCCATGTTAACATCTTGTATTTTAAAATTTTATGATATATTCTTTGAATAAATTGATTCATATAAAATAGAACTTTATCATAGTGTTATCCAATAGAAGTTTTATTAGACAGATTTAAATGCATAAAATAGAATGTTTATTATCAATAGTTCTAAATTCTTGGACCAGAGTCTTATATAACTATGCTTCGAGAAAATATTTTATAATTTGTGTAATGCAAAATACTCTAGGATCTCAAGCAGAATGAATGTTGGTCACCTACTGTACATTGAAATGAATTTTAGTCATTTCATTGATTAAGATTTTGAGAATTTGAAGTACTATAATTAGGCATATACAAACAAATCTGTTATATCTTCTTGGTAGTTTGATTTTTGTATCGTATAAAATATATCTCCTGATCTGTAATTCTGATTCTCACCTGAACATTTTTTTTCTACTATCAGTTATATCAAATTTCCTTAGGTTAGTGTTTTCTTGGTAAGTCTTTTCTGTTTGTATTATTAACCTTTGTTGTATGCTTCTCATAGACAGCAGATACTTCAATTTAAAAAAAAAAACTGGTCTAATAATACTCTTGTGGGGGCAGTACTGAGGATGGACTCAGGGCATTATACTGAGTTACATCACCAGTACTTTTTGTTTTGAGATAGGGTTTTGTTAAGTAGCTGAGCTATGTTGGGCTTGAAGTTCTTATCTTCCTGCCTTAGCCTTCCACAAAGTGCTGGATTTACAGGTATGCACCACCACCTCTGGCTCATTTTGTTCAAATGAAAATGTTTAGTACATTAAAATAAGTTATTGTAACTGGTTGTTGTATTCAGGGTTTGCAAGGAGAATAAGAGAATACAGGGCACATAATTTATAGCAGTATTTTATGCTAGTCACCCAGAGTCAAATATAAGAAGTGCAGATCTAGAGAATCCCACTGAGGGCAATGTCCTGCATAAGTTCAGCTGAAAATCTGGGGCCTGTGACAGTGCCTCCCACAAGTCCAGTTGGAGGCCTAGAGCCCATGACAGTGACTTATGCAAGACCGTTTCATGGATCTGCACTGGGAAGGCCCACAGGTCAGCGGTGGAAGCTAGAAAGTCTGTGCCAGCGGGGTGAAGGATCTGTGCCGGCAGGTAGAAGGTTCTGCACTGGAGCCAAGAAGCAATGCTCACATTAAGAACAAGGGATCTCCTGAAACCACAGCCATCCTCAGTGACAACGAGGTTCCGAGCTCCTTCAGCAGTGAGAACAGTTGAGTTCATAGCAGGAAGCCAGCATGACAAGCTTCTCTTGGAGAATGAACAGCACTCATCTTCCCCTCTGGAGCCGGGAGGCAATGCTCAAAGTAAAGAAGCTCCCCAAAGTGAACTGCAGCCATTCTCAGTGACAATGTCCTGAGCTCTTCCAGTGAGAACAGCCAGGTTCCTATCAGGAAAGCCAGCATGATAAGCTCCTTCAGGAGAACCAGTAGCTCCAGGAGAACCAACAGATCCAAACAGTAACACTCACTGAAGGAGTGAGTGTTCTGTTGAGTTCTTAATTCAGTTATTACATGTTTCACTTTTAGAACTTACATTTGGTATTCTTTTTCATAGGTCACTTTGCTGGTGAAAGTCTCC